AACATTTTGGAATTTCTGAAGAAGGAAGTTGAGAGCAGAGAGTACATTTTTCCAAACATCACCAAACTGTTCCGAGTTTAACATCAGAACTGAACAACATAAACATCAATCGCGAGACCTGATTAAAAATGAGAAATATCATACTGCCTTTGTTCCAGCAGTTGCGTCGTTGAATAAGAATACATCAACAGCCGATTGTATATTTTGTGGGAAGATAGAAAATGAATCTTTGAAACATTCTACTTCAAATTGCGCAATTCCAATTGAGGAAAAAAGAAAAAAATTAAAAATGGCTAACAGATGCTATTTATGCTTTTGCAAGTCTCATACATCTGCCCGTTGCAGCTCGGATATACACTGTGATTTATGTTCATTAAGGCATAATACTATTTTACATGATAATAAATTTGAAAATAAACAGGAAAATAAAGGTGAGCTTAAAACAGACACAGTGGTGGCGTCAATTTCGGAAAGAGATAACAAAAATAGGGTTTATTTACAAACTGCAAATGCAATAGCTTTAGGTCAGAATAGAAGAAAAAATGTAAGACTCATTTTCGATTCTGCCTCTCATAAATCTTTCATCCTGACAGAAGTATCAAAACAATTAAAATTAAGTGTTGTGGGGGGAAGAAGAACTTCAGATTTACACCTTCGGCTCTACTAAGCCTACAGTTAAAAGGCTAAAAAAGGTTAATGTAATTCTTAAAGATATATGTGGACCTGGGAAAATAATAATTGAAGCTCTTGAAACTCCAGAAATTATTCAAGCTGTTATTGGTATGCCAGGAAAGGAAATACTTAATTATTGTAAGGAAAATTCGATAAGACTTGCTGATGCTACAGATATAGGTGTCCATAACTCTCAAATATCAGTATTAATTGGTAATGATTATTACTGGAAAATAGTCACGGGGAAAGTTAAAAGATTATCAAAGGGTCTTGTTGCCTCTGAAACCTTATTTGGTTACACTATAAGTGGAACTGAAGCATTAAGTAATGTTTCTACACTTCGTTCCAGAATTACGGTAATGAATGTTGTTGAGAATACTTCACATGCACATGATTTGGAAATTAGTGCAGCTCTAAAAAGGCTATGGGATTTAGATGCAATTAGAATACATGACTATTCAACAAATGAAAATGACACTGAAGTTATGCATAGATTTGAAGAAGCTATTGAATATAAAGCCAAACGTTATGAAGTTTCATTACCTTGGAAGGAAGGACAATATGAACAAAATGGGTAGTAATTATAACATCGCCTTAAACAGATGGAGCAGTTTACGTAGAAGGTTTAAGAAAAATTCTGAAATTTATGACAAGTATTCAAGGGTAATTGAAGATTATCTAAATAAAGGAATAGCTAAAAAGGCTCCGAAGAATTCTGAAGAAAACAATATTATTTGCCACACCACTGTGTAATCAGAGAAGATCACGATTCTACGAAATTAAGGGTCGTATTTGATGTTTCCTCGCATACTCATGACAGTCTATCTTTAAATGATTGCTTACATTCAAGACCAAATTTAAACCCTGAATTATTAGATTTGCTAATTAAATTTCGTCAACACAAAATAGCATTTGCTGCAGATATCGAAGCTGCTTTTCTACAAATTATGTTGACAGAAATGCAGTAAGACAGAAATTCAGTAAGATTTCTTTGGACTTCAAAGGAAAAGGAGCAACCGATGATTTTAAGAATGACACGTGTAATATTCAGAGCAACCTGTAGCCCCTTTTTACTAGCAGCAACTATAAAGCATCACGCAAGAAAGTTGAAAGCACAATATTCGAAGATTTGTCAGCTTCTTGAAGAAAACTTTTACGTGGATGATTTGATTCATGGTACAGATGATGAAGAAGAAGCTGCAGAAATTCATGAAGATGTGAAAAGGATTATGATGCTTGCTAGTTTCAATATGAGAAAGTGGAGGAGCAATAACACCCAATTACATGCGATTTGGAATGCAGCTGAAAATACGAAGTTTAATGGAGACGGAATGAATAGCACTTTGTTAGGATATATTTGGAATCATCAAGCAGATAAACTGAAAATTTCGAATCAAAGATGAATAACTCAAGGATACGGCTGAGGAAATAACAAAACGGAAGATTCTTCAAGTTGCGGGCGAACTATACGATCCTATCCGTTTCATATCTCCCTTTGTTGTTGCAGCTAAAATGATGATGCAAGAATGTTGCCAAAGAGGATACCAATAGGATGCACCACTTGATCAAGAATTGCAGAACCGATTTAAAACCTGGTATAATGAAATTCCTAAATTAAAAAATGTTGAAATTCCAAGACATTATTTCAACAATCTGTCAAAAGGTAATCTGTCAAACATTCAATTGTACTGTTTTACAGATAGTAGCTAAAAGGGATATGGTGCCGTTGTATATTTGAGATATAATGAAAATGAGTTAACAAAAACATCATTTATTATGTACAAAGCAAGAGTTGCTCCCATAAAAAGGGTTACGTTACCTCGACTGGAGCTTTTAGGAGCAGTCATAGGAGCTCGAATTATTACATACATCCGACATTCGTTGAAAAAATAGAAATGAAGATTTATATGTGGACAGATTCAGAAATTGTATTACATTGTGTCAAGGCTGATCCGACAAAATGGAAACAATTTGTACGAAATAGGTGTCTAGAAATCCAAGAGAAAACTGATCCAGATTGGTGGAATTATTGTCTCAGCCATCAGAATCCTTTGGACTTTTTGACGAGAGGGCAGAAGGTAGAAACCCTTTCAAAAAATGAACTGTGGTGGTATGGCCCACCTTGGCTTGTCAAAGATAACAACGTTTGGCCCAGATCTTCGAGAAATTTTAATGAAGATGATAAAATAACAAATTCTGAGAAGAAATAAGGAAATCAAAGATGAAACAAAGCATACATAGTTCGAAAATATTTACATTAAATCCATTTGTAGACTCAAATGGAATACTCAGAGTAGGAGGAAGGCTTCAAAATGCTGGGTTAAGCTATAATCAAACATACCCAGCAATACTACCTGAGAAGTCTCATTTCACAGATCATATCACTAAAGATTGTCACGAAACGCAAGCACACGCTGGTGTAGCTGAAACTTTAATTCAAATTAGGGAAAAATTTTGGATACTTAAGGGTCGACAGCGTGTAAAGAGTAATATTAACAAGTGTGTGATTTGCTACAGATTTAAAGCTAAGCCACTAAGTCAGGATATCGCTCCTTTACCAATCGAAAGAATAACAGAGGCAAATCCCTTCGAAGTTGTAGGACTTGATTTTGCTGGTCCTATGAGTACAAAGGATGAAACTGGGAAAGCTTATATTGCTCTGTATACATGCGCTGTAACCAGAGCAGTGCATCTGGAACTCATCTTTGTTGTCCTGTGCAGTTATTGTACCCATTAGAAATGATTTGAACTCTTTGAACTGAATACAATGAACTTAAATTGCGAACACTGCACCTATGAACATTTAAACTTGTAGAACATGAAAAAACATTTAGTGTTTAAGATAACTTCAGAATCCAATCCTTTGATGAACCAAGAGTTAATCGAGGGGAAGGATGTTACAGTTTATGTACCTGGCCACGAGAGGGCGCAGCATTTTTTACTTTTAGCTTGTTTTATTTTTCTTACCGCATTGCGGATTTTTGAGATAGATGTAGTGGCAACCAAAAAACATGATGAATGTTCTAATGTAAGCAGACAATTGTTGTACATAGCTGTAAATAAAGCTTCTGTGTGATAAAAATGAAAAGGAATTCCAAGCATTCCTGTGGATAGACATCACGAAAGGTAAGCAAAAATTCACTTATCAATATTGTTAAATGTAAATAATAAGAATAAGAAAAAAGATCATAAGTTGCAACAAGCTACTAATGTTAACTTTGATGACCGCCACCTCCAATTTTAAAACTTTAAACATTTGTTGTCACAAAATGTAACTTTAAACATTTGTTGTCACAAAATAAATGTTAGATTGATTTTTCTTACTTATTTATATTGTTTTTAATTTTAATTAATTTATGACACTGGACCATATATTCTAATTTACTGGGTTTAGTTTCGCTTACACAATGCAATAATTGTTATAAGTATTTAAAAGTTTCAGAATTGTTATATTGTTTGTGCACACCTCGTTCTTGCATTTTTCACTAACCTGAAATACTCCTTGAAGAATGTTCAAATGTATATTGTGCTATTTACCAAATTCAATATTGAACAGAAATACACTAATTATTCTATAATATTACTTACACAGTGATGTTGACATATTGCACCAATGTGAAATGAATTATGTTATATTGTTCTATACTTAATACACAACAATCCCATCTAAAACTAACGTCTATTAATTCTTTCTTTCATCAATATATTGGAAAAACTTTTATAAAAGTTATGCATGTATAAGTTATGAAATTAATAATTAAAAGAGTACATATTTTTAAAAGGTACATTACAACCTCATTTTGAATTCTTTCTAAGTTTCTTAATTACTTTTTAGGAAAGGAGAGATGCAATAGACAACTGAAGGTCTCTCAAACTATATTAAAATTCCATAAATAACTTGAATAAAATGAAAACAGTAACTACATCATAGATAAATCATTTACATCTTTATAATGCATATCTCAAGATTTTAATAATATCACACAAATTTACCATATTTTAGATACTGGGAAAAAAATTAATTAATTAACGGTTTTAATAACAAATTTTAAACAAACTTGCTTAAAAAAGTTTAATTCTGCTTATTTTTACTAAGATGTTATTTTGTTAAATATTAATCTTAATAAAAATATAACCAAGATAACATATAAAATATTCCCTTTTTCCCTCAACATTCTTTACTGAACAGAACTAAATGCATAAAAGCAATAAAAACAGAAATTTTGTTAATTAAATAAATCATCTCTTCAAATGTGATAGAAAATTAATTTATATTAAAAGACTTACCTAACGATATTTTACTTTAAAAATCTTCAGACAGTTTTTTCTTATGTGTAACTTTGAATATGCTCTCTTAAAAAATCTGTTTTAAAATAAATAAAGCTTTTATTACAGAATAACTCTCAAACACGAAATCACAGCAACTTTTATCCACAAAAGAAGCTTTCATTTAAATTTTAACACCATATTCAATGCAATCGCAGATTTTTTAAAAATAAGCAGATTTCTGATCTACTTATAGAATCATCCTGCATAAATCTGATGTAAACCACATATCAACACAATGACTATTTCAAATAAAGGTTTAAAAACTAATGTCCACCATCACAGTTTATAAAATGCTCTGCAACTATTATAATAAGCACCTTTAAATAATGAAAGCTATAAAACATTAAATATAGAACTGCTCCCGTATCTACGGATAATACATTTTAAGGCCTACTGGGGATATGTTGAAATATAATTAATAAAAAGTACACTAATACTACATAAATAAATGCAATGCTTATAAATGCAAAAGCAAATTAAAGTATAGGTTCCAAAGGAAAGTTCATGCATCCCCCCCCTTTATTCCAGAATGAATGTCTCATACATGTAAGGTTTACCCCTAATAAAATGATAATTCTTGGTGAACAGTGGCGCAGCTAGGAGGGGGAAAAGAGGAGCATCTGTTCCCAGGCATAGCATCCAAGGGGTACAAAAATGATGCTATGAAATTTTAGTTTTTTTTTTTTTTTTCAGAACTAGAACAAAACTTTTACAATATCCTCCCTTAATTACTGATCGCATGTTTTACTTTAGGCTGTTCCCCCAATTGAAGAACAAATTGAAAAGGAGGCATCTGGAGAGTGAGTATGGTCTCCTAACAGCCTAAGATGAAGACTGTCATCAGATCTCTGGGGAACAAGGAAGGTTTCTTCAAAGACAGTTTTTGATGGATGAAGAAGTCTACATTGTGTGGTGGAAAATATTTTGAAAAACTACAAAATGTGAAGCAAAACTGTCTTATGCCCTTAGTACCAAACTTAAAACTGAATCAAGATGCATACTTGATCTAATAATACCTCCATTTTAAATATTTTTGCTAATCTCGTAAAAATCGCTAAATCATTTTTTATCATAATTACAGAATTAAACAATTCTTCAATTAAAAAGTAAAATTAAAGAATTTTTGTGAATTTTTGTATAAAATCTAAATTGGAAAAAAAATTATTTCTAATTTTTTATTTATTTTTTCACTAATTAGCTTATTCTATCATTGGGTTATATTTAAAGACTATGAAATGAATGAAAATTACTTTTCTCTTTGAAATGATTTAAATATACTCACTCATAGCTGATCCAATCATTGGATAATAGACTTTCCAAACAGTATCAAGAGATGACCCACTATCAAGATAAATAGCACCAGCTACTGATTCAAAAACATCAATTAAAACTTGGGGAACTTCATCCCTTTCTAACTCTGAAAAGTTAACTTCTTCATGATAATATCCATATTTCTGGAATAAAAGATGAAGAAGTTTTGATAAAATAAGCTAATAAAAGATATGTAAAATTTTCCTTTAATTAAAAATAACAGAAGTACTAGGCAACATTTATTCTTACAACTTAAAAAAAAGAGAGAGAGTAAGACAAAATAATATGCATTGTTATAATACATAACTAATAAAAACTAACATAAGAAATAAATTATTTTATTAAAATGTAAACAACAACGACAGCATTATAATGTTCTTAAATATTTGAAACTTAAAACTCTGTTTTCAGAAAAGAAAAAAAAACCCTATTTTTTAAACATGTATTTAATTGCACACACACAAAAAAATAACCGAATTTATTTTTGGTAGTATTTGAGAAGCAATCTGCTATGTAAAAGTAGCCTCATAATGAAACACAATGAACTCAAGCTCTGAAAAAATATAATTTGTACAGTGCATTACAAACTCGGGTGGATGACATGGAGGGACAATAAGTAAGAATGGTATTAACTGCTGCTTGGGAGAAGGTAAGGAATCATTTTTACACTTTTGCAAGTGATGGGAAAGGCTACTGATCTAAGTTAATTTGAAAGAAGGCAGGCGAGACTGTAATGAACTCGGAACGAGTACAGCCATTTATTCAATGTTAAATAGACTTGCCCCTGTATTCTTACTTTTTTGGCAAAGCATCGGCTCTTTGGATTTTCATATTACATGATACAGAAAAATACACAATTTCACATAAAATTTAACTAAAATTATTTACATATGCACAAAATTCATAACAATATTTAATATAAAAACATTTCATATTTCCTACATTATTTCAAAGCAAAATTTTATATTTATTTTCTGTACCAGTTTTTATACAAAATTTTTTTATTTATTTTCTGTACCAGTTTTTCAAAATTACCTATTTTTTACATTTTGCTTTTTCTTAAAATAATTCAAAGGTTTTTTTTTAAACAATAATTTAAAAATATAATTATTAATATAGCAATTTTTAATAACCTTCCTTAAATAAAATAATTACAAATCTTTAAAATTCGTTACTGTATCTTTTATTTAAAACCAATGTTTTTACAACTGTATCCAATTTATAAACTAAAATTTCAGTTTCTGGCAGCAGGAAGTGCAGCCTCTTCAACTACACCCAAACAGAACCATGTTCCCAATTAATATATCTTCTTCAGTATGCATGGCATTTTTAAAAATTTGCTGCTAAAATAGTAAATTTTCAAACAAATATAGTGTTATATTTAGTAAATGGAGTAATTTTTTCAGCTTTAATATTATGAATTCTATGAAAAAAAATGCAAATATATAATTATTAAACAGATATAATCATTAAACGTAATTGTGAAAAATTAAATTTTTTGATACCATAAAATTTTAATCATTTTCACAAAATAATGTTAATTTTTTTTAATTCAGTACAATAACAAAACAACATAAATTTTTAAATGGCACTACTTGCTAGCATTTTTTGATATCATGATAATATAATTCTAGCTACGCTAATTAGAACCTTACTTTTTACATAAAATGTTTAACATAAAATTTTAAAATCCATAGCACTATTTCAGTTTTGTTTCACTGCAGTGACTGTAATTTAACACATTATGATTGAAAGAAGGTAATTATGTAGTTCTATTATGTATAAACTTCTATAGGAGATAGTAATTTTGAGATTTTTGATTGATGAACATAATACTAATAAAAATAGGAAGATAAAAGAAATTTATTGCACACAAACTTGAAGCACATTCTTTAAATAGAGATTAACAACCTTCAAAAGCATTGGGAATGTGCAGTTAAAATGATATGGAACATATCCTTAATCTTTGAAAATACTTATTATATCAATTTTAATAGAAACACTATGTTAGATCAAGTTTTAGTTAATGTAATTTGCTTAAACACATAGATATGTTTATAATTGGAGAAAGCTGTGGGGTTTTCCAGTTTTGTGTAAAATAAGAAAATTAAAAATGTCTTAAGAAAAAGCATAATTTCAATAGCACTATTTCAAATAATTTTAAAATGAAAGTTATAATAATGAAAATTAATTATGCTATAAAATTTTGAAATTTGTTGTGATTATCCAAAATACGTATTGAGTGCATAAAATTTTTATATTTGTAATATTGTGTTGTAAAATTTTTATATTTGTGAAGTTTTAGATAGTCTATCCTCAACAAATAAAATTATTAAGATCCTAAACCAAATTGTGATAAATTATTCTCAAATTTGATTTTCTGTCAATCTGCATTCTTTTCTATCTATTTTTTTTTAAATTATTATTGTAGGGTAATGTAAAATTTCTTTTTATTCACTAAATTTGTAGGAACTAACTTGAGGTTAACTCATCTTAATTTGAATTTTTGTATATTTGTTTTTATTTCAATTAGGTAATTTGAAGAATTGTATGGCCATACTTCATAATTAGTAACTTTGATATATTTATACAGTGCTAAAAGCCAGTTAACTTGTGTAAGGAACAGAGGTTTTCAAGTGCTATTGCATTTAAGCATGCTACAGCCATCAGCAAGTAGTTACAACAATTCGCTCCTCGAGGACCTGCCTATTTTTTTATCAAAGTTATTTCATTAGTTTTCTAAGTTATTAATTTCTATGTATTTTTCTACATATTAATTTAAAGTTCATTTTACATTTCTTTACAATTAGATGCTTTGGTTTTGTAATAAATACAACAGTTTCTATAAAAAAAGACTTTCAAGACAAGGACTGTAAACTTACATTATGACATTCAAGCAAGATTTTCAAGAACTGAATTTTTACAATTATTTCTTCAAGAATTAGGACTTCAGATTTATTTATAATATTTTTAAAGAAAACATTAACTTGTAAACTTTAAAACTGGACTAAAGATTTCGGCTCTACTCTTATATTAGCCCTAATCAAATGATCAGATCCCTAATCAGATCACCAAATGTGGCGATATATGTTCTGCGCTGGTTTTTGGTGTGATTTCGGTCCTGTGTCGTGGTTTTAGGGACGATGCTGTTTGTATGGCAACGCTTTTGACATTGAAACTTAACTCTTTTGCTGCAGTGGTTTAATTGCTCATTGGTTTGTGTCGTGCGTGTTTTAAAATAGTCTATATTGCAATGATAGACGTGGTGGCAAGATTTCAGTCATGTATTTTAGATTGTGTGGAAAGTAAATTTAGTATTAAAAGGTACGATGTTGGAGTTGTTAATGAGTCTTTTGTTCATGGGTGTGTTTATGAGGATCGAAGTGTATTTTTGGAATTTTTGTGGGACTTTTAAAACGGAGTCCGAAATGCGGAGCTGCTATTAGAACTCGGACGAAGAAGGGCGTTTTTGATAGTTCTTGTGTGGATTTGCAGTCAAATGCTTGCTGGTAAAGTATGTGGCTGTCAGTGGAGTTTAAGTTTGGACCATGAGTTTCGTGTACTAAGTTAACTTTGGAGGAAGTTTCTATCATTACTTTCGAAATTTTCAGTCGCAAAAAGACATGTGATATAGCAAAATTGTGGCACTTTTTTTCATAGACATTGTGTGACTGGCAAAATTTTATTAAATTATGGTAAGTGCATTTTATTTTACTGTTTTTATTTTGTAGAATGTTATGATCATTGTTTTTTTACTTTGAATTTCTGTTGTTATTGTTGTTTTTTGATCTGTTTGTAATTTTAGTTATTTTAGTTGATTTTGTTGATTTGTGTGCAATGCCTAGATTGTGCAATTTGTAGATGTTTTTTTAAGTTTAAACAGGATGCTATGTACATGGTATTCTTTGAAATTTATTGTTGTTGTGTTAATTTATTAAGGCGAGGTATGCATAGTTCGTAGATTCGTTCGTTGCCTAAATTGTGCAATTCATAGATTTTTTTTAAGTTAAAACATATCGCTGTATACATGGATTCTTGTCCAATATTTTTGGTTAGAAACTTTACATTTTTGCTATCTAAATTTTTTGTTTTCATTTCGAATTTTTAGCTTAAATTGTGTGTTCAAAATGTGGTTTTTGCATGTGTGAAAACCATGTTTTTGGAGACATTTCAGGCTTAAAGTTAGAAATGTAGACAACATTTTAGATAGTAATATGGCAGCGTTTGGTGAGAAATTTGTCGCCACATTTGGCGACCTGAAGGCACATATAAGAGTAGTTCCAAAATTGGAACAGTAAATTTTACATTCATTGGTCAAAAATGTTTTATTTAAAATTTTATGATTTTTTCCCCTTCTCAAAATTATATTTATCTGGAAGAGGATAAAATCTATTTCACTCAAACAACTGAGACGCCTATACATATTTATTTTTGCTGGAATGAATTTTTTTCCCCCATGCCAAGTAGAATGCTTAACAGCACTAACACCCTACTTAAGTGAAGCGACAACTACTCCCTTTGGATCTTCATATGCTTTCACCACTGTGTGTAGCTTTCTCTTAGGACAGGATTGCAACTTCGGGCATCAATAGCTAAACATTGACACTAAACAAAATAACAGAATTACTTTTAGTCATTTGAAAAGAATGACTGGCGTGTCATTCAAGAACTCCCAAAAGCAATGAGCCATGCTCTAACGTGATGGGGAAAAGCACCAGGTAGAAAATAATTCATGCATTCAGGCGACCTGCCAATGTCTGAATGGTTGGGCATTTTGGGCACCTTCGATGTGAAAGAGTTAAATGGATAATTGTGATTAATATGCAAATTAAAATATTCGAAGTAATTTAAATTAAATAAAGGATATCATAAGGTTTCCTTTATGTGATTAATAAAAGCAGTTTAAAAGAAAAATTTTGAAATAAAATGAACCATTTCTATCGTCTACGCAATCTGGCTTGATGTAAGAGAATAATATAAATGGATGCTGTTCTGCTGTGAAAGTCTTAAAACAATACTGAGAAAAACTTAAAGAAAACTATTCATTTTAAATTATCTGGATATACACTGGAATACAGATTTTGGATTAATAACATGTCAAGTATTTCATCAGTTAAGCACAGAGAAAAGGCCCCAATTAATTCTCATTTAAATGTAAAAAAGGAAAATTAGAAAAAGTATCATTTTCTGACAATAATCACATATTGCTGATTTCATATTTTTAAACCGCATACAAATGTATGCAGTATTATTTACATAAGACATAATATTTATGTTAATTATAAGCATTTTCAACATGTACCATTTACATACAATGAACATACACTCATATGCCATTTCACAATTTTGGATTTCGAAGCAAATGAGAGAAACATTAATTCCTAACTATGAGGGAAATTCTTATCTTTACAAAATACTTTCTGTTGACTATTTTAGTCAAGCTAGCACATTATACAATCTCTATTCATTCAAGGTAATATTTATGATAATATTTCAAAGATTCTTTCTGCTGTTTTAGTAGCATATACAGATTATGTAATAACATATTTACATGTGAATTTCCAGTTTTCCCACACAATTTCTTGTCATCAATCTAAAGCAGTGCTCCGCAACCGGTGTGCCTCGGCACACTGGTGTGCCATGAGTAGGATATAGGTGTGCCGCAATCAAATACATGTATTTAACATTTTCAATTTTTTATCATGTATTTAATACACAATGACAATTTTTTTCCTTAATAATGTCTATTTTAAATGTTTTTATATATTTCACTGTTGTGTGGGATTGTAAGTGTGTCAGCATTTGAATTTTTTCGGCACTTCCTTGATGACTCGGAACTCTTTGGTGTGCCACGAAATTCCAGAAAGATTTTTCGTGCGTCGCAGGTGAGAAAAGGTTGCGGAGCACTGATCTAAAGCATATGCACATTTAGTTGCATATGCTTTAGATTAAAATAATAAACCAATTGTATACTCTTTAAAAAGTGCAGAAATGAACATTTTGACATCTGAACTCATGAATGAAATATTACAACTGTTGTCTAAAAATTATAAGCTTCTATGATTAAATATTTTCCCTAAATTACTTAAAACAATATTCTTCCCATTCAAACCAATCTTCTCACCTACAAAACGGAACTGCATTCAATTTTAAGGTATGTGTAACCAGTTTAGGCTTACAATACAGCCTTAATAAAATAATAAATATAAGAAAAGCATGCCAAATTGATGTTGAAATATACTGCAGACCTTTCATTCATAAAAATATTCATAACATTTCACAATAAGTTATTGTGAAAAAATGCAATGCATACCTCAAAGAACTTGAAAGCATCACTCTTTTAGCAATTTAACAATTTAAAATACCATGGAGATAACACCTTTAAAAATTCATGATATTTGTATCTTACTGCCAGTGAAGCAAAAAATGCATTACTAATAAGAGTTGAACGATGATCACTTAAAATTTCAGATGAATGATCATTGTAATCTTCAAAAAGCTGTCGAGTTATGATATAGTCCAAGACAGCATTACCTAAGAATTTTAGCTTTTGGTAGCAATCAGTTATTTTATTATATGAATATGAACAATGAGTGAAAGCTTGCAAAAGATAAGCTATATTATTGAATTTGTATTTAATAATATCTTCGAATCTGTCAAACCCACTTGTGAGATGAGACAGACGTTGCTGAAGGAATTCATTGCTCATTTCACTAGTTATGAGTGGATTAGGAGCAGCAGGTAGCCATGATATGAAATCTTTGTTACAAATGTCTGTATTTTTTGATAGCGTGTTTAACCCTAACCAATTCATAAAGCGAAGAGCACCCTGCTGGCCACAAGACAATAAATACACACCAATCAAAGCTTTAACACTATCTGCTATGCAATCATCTGAAATTAACTGTTTAGTAAAATAGTGATGAACTACAATTGTATTTTTATCACTGCTTTTCTTCTTTCTAGCTTTTTTACTTAACGATTTCTGACTCATCACTTCATTAACAATATAGCAGGGTGGCAACCATGTAGTATTATAGTTAAAACAAGTACATATCAAATATTCACCTAAATTTTTCTCCTTAGCTGCATGACATAAGCTACGTGTTTTAGTTAGGCCACTTCTTAAGGTATACAGCTTTCCAGCATCAAAATTAGGATATTTATGATATGTTTTGACAGACATAACATATTTGAGAAATGAGTTACCTATCATTTTTAGGCATTCTGAATCAAACTCATCTGCAGCACTTTTTGATGTTAATGCTTGGAGGATTAAACTAGGACTGGGCCCAGGATGATCTAACAATTCAACTTTTGCTTCAAAACTCATAATTTTTTCATGCATTTTGATTACATCGCTAGGTACAAAGTCATTTCTATCAGCATATACTTTAATATGGCCTTTTTTAAATAATTTTTCTTTCAGTACTTTATCACTTTTTTCTAAATTGAAATCTGGCCAGATATGTTTTAAGTGTAATGATCCAACACTTGCTTCACTAGCAACATTCTGCCTGATTTCCTCTGCTTGTAAAAGACACTGTAGTCTAAATAACATAGTTGGTAAATAAATAACTTTATTAAAGAATGAAGAAGGAAATGGATGTATTATACATAGCTCAGGAACTAGATATTCATTGTGACACTTATGGTTTTGTTTACTTCTCACTTTTGGTACATCTTCGTAAGTATCTTTCAAAGAAACATAGAGTGGCTTCCAAAAATTACCAACACCACTTTGTACTGTTTCTACTAATGGCTGCTTATCATTTAATATTTGAATATTATATTTAGCTTTATAATAGTCTTTAAACGTGATAACAGTTGATTCATCCAGCTTGCTTTCAGGTGACATATTGTATACAATATTTATAACATGATGAAAACTTGGGCAAGCATTTTCCCACTCAGAAATCTTATAAATAGGAATCAAAACAGAATCCTTAAATAATTCCTCATCAAAATGAGTTCTTTTTACAGCCAAAGTCTTGTACTTCTGATCATTATATGGATGAGCTTTAGTGGCATCAATGAAAGACCAATCAATGTCATAATTAGCTGTCTCAACTGCAAGGAAAAAAAATTATAATCTATAAAACTAAAATAATTAAAAATCATAATATATTTTTTAAAAGTTGAAAACCTTATTACCTGAAATTATGTTACTTTTAACACAATGTATTAAAAAAAAAAACCTAGTTTGTCAGAGTATGTCTTACACAGCAGAGTATGTCTTACACAGCCAGAGTATGTCTTACACAGCACAGAGATGGCTAGGTGGTACATAATGATAAATGTATACATCTTCTTTTTTTTAATTCGATTTATATTTTTTCAGTTTACTATTTAATTGATTTTTTTATTTTTTTTTTTTATGAGCCCAAAAGGAGCTATTAATCTCAAAACGGAATTTTCTGACTTATAACTATAAATGTCGGTTCACTTCAGATGGCTGATTCACTTTTCAGATTCTCCAAATATTACTGTCCTGTAGTACTTTTAATTGTATTTTATTTGTATTTGATTAATAAATTCAGCAATTTGAAAGCAAGAGAAATTAACCCTGTTCGAAATAAAACTTTAGATTTTAATTAACAAACTTAGATTTATGAAAGCCATATGTTGCCATTGGCTGTCCATAAAGAACTTTAATTTTCCGTGTGCCAGCATATTGCCATTTATTAAATCCTAAGATACTTCCAAATTTAATCTGGAAGGCTACTGAATAATAAACTAAGCAATGTAAAAGTAATAAACACAGTTCTTAAGAATATTACAAGAGCAGACTGATAGACTGCAAGCTGAGGGACAGCACAAAAAAACCTTAACAAACCCTTTTGGGTGACCTTTAAAATCTGAATCTTTCAGTTTTTTTTAATTGTATGAATCTTCATTCAATTAGGGAACTAATTATCCCAGAATTCCTTTGTTCATTGAGAGCACCCTTAGATAAACCAGGGATAGGGGAACATTTAAATAAAGTTTATTCCAAATGTTTAAATTATTTGTTCCAATTTAATTATTCCAAATGTTATTTAACTGATACTAATTTTTTTCAAATGATGATACTTTTGTTACTTTAAAACTTCAATATCCAAAAATGCACGTTATAAAATTTTGAAATTTTCAAAGATTACAAAATTGCTTTTTGCTTATTTTTTTAACAGAAATGTTAAAAAAATACAAATTAAATCATTTTTACACTTTTATTTCCCAAATATACAACATAACTATTCTAATAGAGCAGAAATTTTATCCCTTCATAATTTGTCCCTATTACCTATAACATTATAAAAATACCTAAAATATTATAAAAAGCAACAGGCTTCGGTAAGGGTTTTACTTCTGCAAGAGTAAGTGTTTCTGTTATAAATGTGTTTGAGTAAAAATAAATGTAGTTATTAAGAAGATGACTTATCACTATGTAAAACACCTCTAACCAGACCATACTACATGTGTTTTTGTGCGTTCAGCCGAAGATAAAATACGAAATGATATTAAACTATTTACATGTTTTGAGTTTTGTAAAATATTCTTCAGTAATAGCAAGTTAATTTAGATTTTGGATTTGGCTTGAAAGTTAATTTTTTAAAATTAAACTAACTTTAGTCCAAAATGCCGCACTTAATGAAATGTCAAAATTTGAAAACTTAAACTAGTTTATTGCTGATAATTCAGATTTAGAAATGCAACCACGTTTCAAAATTATAGATTTCAAGAATGCTTAGTAGTGAAGATTACGATAAAGAGTTTTGCAAAGAATGGTTAAACACAATAATAAATGTAAGAAAAGAAACAGTCAAAGAGAACAGATGAAAAGAATCAATCACATCGTACAGTAGAGAGGAAAAGGTGAAATGCAACTGGAGCTTGAAAAATTGAAAACTGAAGCTGAATGTAAGAAAAATGGGAAGATTTGAATAGAAGATGCTACAAACCTAGCATATAATTTACAAATTTAGTTCAGAAATTTGACATGAATGCAGATATAAATTTGGGTTTAGTTCTTTTTGAAAGGTAAATCTGTCCCATCTCCTTACAAAAGCAAGAATAGGTTCACATATCTTTTGGAACTTCTTTTCCTATGAAATAAATCAACTAATAACTTGGGAACCTCATGATAAGTTCAGATAGCATGAATATTCTTAAGAACTGCAGTTGAAAATGTTTAAATTAACCTCCAAGAAATTCTGAGAACTATTCACCTCACACCAAAAGACACCAGGCATGATTTCAATCACGAATAGTTTGTGTACTTTGAAGGATGGAAGTCGGGATTAAAAATAACAGTGTTTGATCAATTAAAAGATTTAATTGTTATCAATGAAATATGAAAATGAGCTCCACCAGATTTCAGACAATATTACTTTGACAAATATATATCAATATCATTTTACCCTTAGAATTGGTTGAAAAGCTTGACGATTTTGAAAATGTAAAAAAACTCACAAGTGCACCATCTAATAAGAAAAGAGATCTATCAAAGTCTGCTTTTCTGAATTTTTGAGAGAAGTTCAGTAGAGACATAGGAAAAAAGATACTGATTTGCAATCTATGAAAAATTTCTGTAATCTCAAAATTTGATACTGGTCAGCGCACACTCAGAAACTGATAAACTGAGAAGTTCAGGAGACAAAGTTCATTAAAATGCACAGACATGCGACAAATTACATAATGAAAATCATCTAAAGAAATAACAGTCAGTGTGAGCTGATATTACAGAAAGCAGTAGATTTCAGTAATGGCTTTTCTTCCATAATAATGTTTATAACTATGTTTCTCAAGTAAAAATTAACATAGTTATTAAAAAGAATAACTTATCATTATATAAATCCAACTGAACCATGCCACATACATTATAATAAGGCAGAAATTTCCAAGATTTGATAACAGCAATTATACAACTTAAATCAAATCAAGTCGAATTCGCATGTGACTACCTGCAAAAGGTAGATACAGTAGTTACTATCATACACTGATGAGCCAAAACATTATGACCACATACTCAAAAGCGTTGCACTACCTTTGGCCTGCAAAACAGCTGCACCTTATCTTGGCATGGATGCCACAAATTCTTGGTAGATGACTGGATACAGGTTATACCAAATGTCTAAGCAGCGATCATGCAAAATCAAGATATTCCGAAATAGTTGTGATTGAGCTCTGAGCTGTTGTTCCATGGCATCCCAAATGTGTTCTATTGGGTTAAGATCCAGCGAGTAAGGTGGCCAGGACATTACATGAAATTCATCCCTTATGCTCCAAGAACCACACCAACACAATTCGAGGCATGTGACATAAGGTGTTGTCCTGTTGGGAAATTCAATTTCCAATTGGGGAGACAAACACTATGTAAGGGTGCACCACAATTATGTTCAGATAGTTCGCAGCTTTCATGGTCTGTTTTACCACAAATAAAGGACCCAGAACCACCCATGAGAACATCACCAACACCAACCTGTGTATGACCTGCTATACACAGGTGGAGCAACTGTTCACGCGCAAGATGGTGTACTCTGACATGACGAACAATGTGATGAATGAGAAATCGTGGTTCATCTGACCGGGCAACTGTCTTCCGCCTATCCATGGTCCAGTCTCGATGTTCCCGGGCTCACTGTAGGCATAGTTGACAACGAGGCTTGGTTAACAAAGGTACATGTGTGGGACGTCTGTTACGCAGTCCCATATTCAACAACTGAACTCTGTGTTCCAAAACACTTGCACTTGGACCTGCATTGTACTGAGCTGTCAGCTAAGCCACTGTCTGGCAGCAATTTTGTTATACCAAGCAGGACAGTCTCTGATGTCCTTTTTCTTTGATGACGCATGGATGTCCAACAGCTTGCTGTCTATTGCTAGTTTTACCATCATTTATCCTCTTTGTATAAATACTAACAATGGCAGATCATGAACAGCCTACCAGTCCTGCAATTTCAGAGATACTCGTTCCGAGTCTTTGGGCCATTACAAACTGCTCTCTATCAAACTCAATTAGATCAGCAGCATTTCCCATCATTCACAAAAGTAAGTGCAAGATTGATTCCTTACCTTCTCCAACAGCAGTTAAATACCATTTACACTTAGTTACATGCTTTCCACATGATCTAGATGAGTCCATCGAAAATGTGGGGATGGTCATAATGTTTTGCTCATCAGTGTATTTCACAAAACCATTTAGAAATTTTTACTACCAGTGAGAGCTTAGAAATACAATTCATCTGATTAAACAACATGTTTGAAGATATCATTACATTTTAATTGTCACTAGGATAAAAGTACGTATTAATATATATTAAAAATTTTAGCAAACAAATTATGTATATAATAAAAATGAGAGCGCGATATAACAGAATTTTTAGTATTTTTACATTATGCACCAGCCAGGCATTTGTGTGTATGTGTGTGTGAATCCATAAATGCTTTGATCCCCAGGTAGCATGCTATCCTTGGATATGAACATTTCGGTGTGTGTTTGGCTTCTCTTTCATAAGCATCGAAAAGCATGGCAGGTGCATAGAGGAAAAATGCCAAATTTTGTTAGTACCAGCAATATTTTTGGCATGATAATTTTAAATAGCATTGGAATTCTTAACCACTATTTAACACTTAAGAGTTTTTGGCCTTCCAATATGCTTTTGATAATTCAGACAAAAATGAATCGTGTGTTATGAATGCATACTTTTAATTGAGTTGCCAATATTCAGTATTTTCAAAGCTATATTTATGTGGCCCTCAGAACATGTAGACTACAGAATTTGTTTTAGTAAAAGGCTACAACAAAATAATTTAGAAAGGAACAAATATAATCTTGTTAAATATGAAAAGAATGGAATATTTCACAACTATGTTAATATTTCCAAACAGTATTCTGAATGACAGTTAAAACATCAATTGGACTATATAGAATGCATAGGAATAGCACTACACATAGGAACTAGGCTTGACTATTAATAAGTAAGGTAATAAAAGAATTTTAAAAATTACTACATAAAAGTCTATTTAAATAATATACGTTCCCATTTCCTATCAGAAGGTTTCACAACTATTTGTCAACCTCACAAAAAGTGACATCTACAAAAGTGATATATATTCCCATTTCCTATCAGTAGGCCTCATAACTGTTAGTCAAATACTTTCATGTCAAAAAAAATAAAATCCCTTGAGTTATGATCCATCAACAGATCATCTTTAACACTACCATTATTTTGAACTGCTTTCTAATTCTCTTGTTTAATGATTATTAAATCTTGAAACTGAAGATTAATTTGTTGCTAATATGCAATAAATCTAAAATTTATTCAATGAAAACTTTTTTAAACAAAAGTAATAAATTCTGTATTCATATTTTTTACATACGATAATTCTTATCTAAGCTTTTATGAAATATATAACAATGAATTCCAGAACATTTATTTAATCAAATAGTTACACAAAACTTTTAAACAATTTAATTACAAAATACACACAAACACTACGAGGTGTTTCAAATAACATTCTTTAAGTTTTTTTTACTTAGGTGTTTAAAAGGACAAAAGTTTTTTTACAATCCATTTTATAGCACTACAATTGGACAATTTATTAATAACAGCTACACAATTATGCATATTACAATGCTATAAACATAATTAAATATATATTTTATTATTTATGACTTAAAATAATTACTTTTCCGACAAATAAATATAGACAAAAATAAGACACAGTCCAGAAAACATACCTTTATTAACAGGAACAATGTAGGCTGAAAACTCAGAGCAGGCAGGAGAAAAATTCTTATTTTTATTTAGCCATAAAGTATCAGAGAAAACAAATTTATGAAATTCTTCTACTTTTTTCAGGTCTTCAGCACTTAAGATAACTGTATTTTTGAGCGCATTTACTTTAACCAAGATCTTTCCAGACTTTGTAAAAATGGGAAATGGGTTAACCTGCAAATAAAATGAAATAATTTTTAAGTTAAATTTGAAATACGGTAAAAATAATTTCTACCTAATAAATACACAAATTACGACTACATATTACGATTTAAATTGCATTATTAATTTTTTTCTAATTTATTTTTATCTTTAAAATCCAATTGTTTGTATTAATAATAAGAATTATAAATAATAAAGAGTTATATTACATGTATTAATAATAAAGAATTACATTCAGTAATGCTTCAAGTATGAAATTAAAAAGTAACTTTTAAATATTATGCAGTTGTAAATAATATTAAAATTTTTTACAATATATCAACTTCCATTTCACCATCTTTTTATCATGTTACCTTGTTCATGACAGGAATTTTTTTACATCTGAAAAGGATTCTGTATGAAGTAAAAAAAGAAAACTTATTTTTTATGCTGGTTTTCCAATTGTGCATCAAAACAACCATCAGGAAATTGTACTTTCATACATGAAAATTCTGAAAAATGCTGTAGAATTGTTAATTTATCAATGTTTATGAAAATTTGACAACTGGTATAAAGTAAATTAGTATAGTGGTATAGCAGTATTAGAAAAGTAAATAAGTTTTGTTGAAAGTGTAATTTTGCAAATAATAATTTAATGTTAATTATTAAAATTCACTAAAATCGAATACAATCATTTCAGCCGCCACAGGTATAGTGGTTAGAGTAGCTGACTGCTAAGCCGAAGGGCCCTAGTTCAAAATCCGGAGAAGGGATGGATGTTTATAAATGTCTAGTGTCGGCACGGCATGGTGGCACTCTAAATATGTGGTGAGCCGAAAGTCCTTTCATTTTTACTTCCTTGTATGAAGTAAAAAGGAAGTATTGTAATCGCGAAAAGTTTCAGGCAGCATATTTCAACGAAAATATCCATTTTGACCGCTATCGAATGCAGTTTAACGATGTTTTTGTGTGATATCTGTATGTAAGGACAGAATAAAAGACTCGTTTCCTCCAAAAAAATTATAAAATTAATTCTGAAGAGAAATTTTCATGGCGTCTGTATGAACGTACGTAAGTATCTTGCATAACTCAAAAACGAATAGCCTCAGAACGTCGAAATTTTGTATATAGGACTGCTATAACATGTAGATGTGCACGTTGTATTTTGGTTGCAATCGGCCGCACCAAACGTATATAAATATATTTATATATATATCCACTCTGTTACCTGTCTCAGTGATCTCAGTTTCTTTACTCTTATATGTTTGTAAATTGTACAATTTTTTGCTTTAAAAATGATTGAATTACGTTGCTTTTATCTTCCGGTTAAGGTTTTTATGCCTTTAGTAAATCTGCATGCAATATTTTTAGAATTATCAAAAATTTTAAAGTTGTTTAAGTGCCACTAAGCCTTTTTTTAATGGCAACCATTGATTGTTTACATTTGAAACAGCAGACTAGTGGATTTGTTGCCAATCTAGAGAAACTTAGCTTCGCAACAACAAAGATAACGCCTTCATTTATTATTGCCAATTAAATCATGCTTAATCCTTTCTGGAATGTTTTCGAGGAAATAAGTGTTGAAGATTTACTTCGTAATTTTTAATATAGATATTTTGAGTTTTTATGTATTTTTGCCTTCTCGCGAAGTGAGAACTGAATTAATTGAATGAGAAATACTCAATCGTCTGTGAAAAACTGTTTCTTTTTTATTTTATTCACTTAATTTCCTTTATACATCATTCTAGCTTTATTATAGTATTTGAATAGAACATGTGGCAACGATTAGATAATTCTATTCTTTAAATGATATAAATTTTGTGCATTATGAGTTATAATATGAACGAAATATAATACTGTTAAGTGAATCTAGCACCAGAGTGTCGCTATGGTAAACAAATACAGTCAAAAGTCGTTAATCCGGACGCCCATAATCCGGAATGATCTATAATCCGGACCTCAAAGTTACAAACTTTCTGAGCATGCGTCAACGCATAATGTGTTCACGCATGCGCATATGCGTTTATGCATGCGCTTTTAATGTATAACGGATGGTATAAGCTAAGCTAAAATTATCTAATTATCTATTTCAGTTAATGTTGCAGATTGCGTTGTTCCTTAATCTTCGCATTGGATCTGGCTTATTATTTTTTGCAGACTGTTGAGCAATTTTATAAAAGTAAGTTTGAACTTTCGATTATTTCAAATAGAATTTCCGATGCTAGATACTGTCAAAGGATCTACAAAGCAAAAGCATATTTCAATGTCCATCGAACAAAAAGTGGAATTGCTGCAAAAAATGGATAAAGGCATATCCTTTGTTTCTCTAACCATTCCAAAATCTGTTTATCAATTTCACGCTGCTCTGCGAGGGAGGGGAACGTCACGGCGCGCAATGAACTGGAAGTTGATCTGTCAGCACTATCCTTATCTTCAGGGCAGATGTTTGTATTCTATTCAGCTTATAGTTCATTACTAAATGTAGTATTTCATCTCGATGTACTCTGTCTTTGATATCATTTAAATCAAATTCATTATAAATATCACTTAAATCAAATTCATTATAAATATCACGAATACACATCAGTTTTCTGGTTGCAATTTTCTAATTTCGAATATGCGTAATGTATGCTTTACGCATGCGCACGTTGACAGAAATGTTTAATAAAGTAAACAAATAAATATTAAGCTTTTTTTTTTTTTTTTTTGTAAATTTTGATACCCTTTATATCATAATTGTTCTTTGTTTCATAAATTACAGTTTCATATTTTTAATTTTATAATTTCTGCATGCCATCTTACCAGATTTAAACTGATGATCTATAATCAGGAAAAATTGATAATCCGGAATCGCCGAAGTCCCAACGAGTCCGGATTAAAGACTTTTGACTGTACTAGAGTGAATTCTAAAGAATGCATTTATTCTATTGTGGTTTATGCACTGTCGGCGAAGTAGATTTAATTCAATCCAATAAGTTTAAATGAAATGCAAGAAAAAATGTGTATGATTTAATATTCCGTACAAGGAAGTCGTGTGGTACACATCAGATTTTTCATCTGACAGGCCAAATCACTCTCTAGAGCTTATGTGCAAATAATACTTTATGCACTTGCTCCAGTAACCAAAACCAAAGTGTATTATGTCCTGTATATTACCAATATTTCATTTTAAGCATAAAATATTGAAAAATGGATGCTTTAATGCAATAAAATTAACAATCATTGGTAACTTTCTAAAATGCTTTTCCAGCAACTTCATTTTTATCAAATTTCATTGTTTACACAGAAAGAAAAAGAAGTTTTACTACAGAATAATATGTCTAATGATAACTAAAAAATAAATAAGAAAAATTTAGATTAAATACTTAATACTAATAGAACAGAAATAAAAGCATGTGTGAATTCAAATTTCACTAAGTAGAAAAAGTGTTGCTTGAAAATAATTAAATTAGTCTTGCCATAAATGGTTATATAGTTCTCATAACATTTATATTGCATAAGCATCATTTCATATATAATTGTTTATAACTGGTTATTACATTTCATGCCACTCATTTCTTAAACAGAAAATAAAATAAGCTACTTAAACTGTTAAAGTGAGGTTTGGTCGGTTTGACCTGTGACCAAAGTGTGAAGGGAAAAATTTCACCGAGTTTATGCACTTTAGACTCCACTGCTCCTCCCCAAAATAGCTTTTAAATAATGAAATTCCAATAAAAAAAGGGAAAGAAAAAAAAAAAAAAAAAAAAAAAACAGGCATTATTTGCATAATGAAATTCCAATTAAAAAGAAGGAAAGAAAAAAACAGGAATTATTTGCATAATTTCCAAAAATACAAATTCCCACTTTAGAAAAAACTATAATTGTTTCACACTTGTTACTTGATTTCGGTATATAGTTTGGCAATAAAATTTGCCAAACTTCGCAATTAATCGGTGGTCACCAGTAAAATCAACAAATATAATAAACTGAAGCTATTGCACTAAATTTTAATTTCTCGTGCATTAAATAATAAGATGTTTTCATGCAATATAATTAATAGCCATCAGCAATCAATCAAAATACTTTTGTAATGTACTGCTGTGCGTAGATAATGAGAAAAGGAGGGGGATTTACTATAGAAATATAGTTATAAGTTGAATAAAGGGCAGCACTTATATCCAAGTAGGAATTTTAGGTACTTTCAAGCCTTGCTAACTGTGAAGTTTCTACCCTGGATGGAATTTCAAGGAAGAACACCCAGGGGTGTGTTCCGAGAATCTCCTATTACCAATCTCGGGAAAGGATTTTGGTTTGCCGTGTATTTTGAGTGCCCCTTTCTGCATAGACACTTACAAATAACCACGCCTTTTTCGGGATTTGAACACATGCTGTTCGATATGGCAATCAATGTCACAAACCACAATCCCAACTGGGCAGCACCACAAATATACAATATTTGATAACAAAAGTGCACTGTAATTTTAAGTTACCATAAGGATGGTAAGCAACAATAGTTCAGTGAGCCACTGGAGGTTCAGCAGTGGGACAGGTAAGGCCCACTATGCAGAAGGGGGATCATCCATTTATCAACTTTCAGCCTGCTTGAGCTTCTAAACTTAAAATCTTGATTTGTCATTTGCTCTGACCTTTCTAAAAGGTTTGAAAGTACGAAGGCATATTTGACTACTAAGGCCCATACATTTTTTTCTTGCCATGCAATTCCTTACAGAACACTAAAAATATCTTGCAAAACTACCTTAAACCTGTATGTTATTTTATAATTAATTAAACCTTTTCTTCAATCACTGTATAAAATGAATATTGAAGAATATTCTTGCTTTTTTTCCCCTTCTTTGTAAACATGAAAATATTCTTCAAATTTCTTTCGTTAATCAAAAATGGTGCTAAATTAAACCTTTTATAAAACCAAAATGGCATAAAGCAAATATTCATAGAGTGGAGGATATTAATTACATGCATTTTCTAAATTACCTAATGCCTTAAGGTCTGTTAGCTAAGTTTTAACAACATCTCAACTGCAACAGAAACAAACAGCAGTAGTAACTCCCCTACTTTTTTTTTCCCAACGTTAAAATACTGATACTGGAAAAGGAACTGAATAATTTATCAGAAAAAGAATACTTTTTCAAAATTTTTACAGGAGGCAAAATCTTGGATATTAACAAAGCAACACTTTTCGATATAGTCATTGGATTAAACAGTGGCCTGTTTTGAGGGTTTAGACACTTTGGCAAAGGCTCAATAAGATCCATCTCAAAAACGTGCAAATAGCAAGGAATCCCTGACGCTGGTCTTGCATTTTTCAGAAATATTGGCACCTATAAAATATCAATAAACAAAAGAAATAATTATAAGGTACTAACAGAGATATAAACAACTACATAAATTTAAACTTATTCTAGAATACAATTCCCAGTTTTACACAAAAGAAAAAGAAAATTAGTTAACCCTTAAATGCAGGGGGGAAATGACAATTTGAGAAATTTTCACTTTATCTTCCAAAAGGTTATTAAAAAATAATACTAAGTCTAAAAACATTCCAGCTACTCTTCTATTTATAGCATTTTAGTTATAATGTGATTTCTTTAATTACAAACATTATTTATTTAAATGTATAAGCTTGCTAATGTATACGAGTGAAGGATTATCTGCATAATGCTTTGCTGTTAATAAGACTTAGAAATTTCACATATTGTTAATCAATGATTAGATCTGACACACAGTTTATTAAGCAGCTACAACTTCAATCCTATTCTTGACAAAAGTGGGTAACTGGACAGAGAAAATTACTTCAACCACTGGTAATAGTAATAATTACAGCAAATGCCATGTTTGCAGTTCATTTCATTACCAGGCATAAATGAAACATGAACAACAGCATGGCAAAATCATCTCATAACATTTTCTTATGGATGGAATCATCCTGTACTATAATCTTGCTCGTAAACAAAATCTGGAAAAAAAACTGACATCTTTTATAAGCTAAACAGAATTTTCAAAAAATTAAAATTATTAATGGAATATAAAAAAATTCTAAGATATTTTTATATCTGACTCCCCCCACAGCTGTTAAAACTCTGTGCGTGTGCGGTGGGGGGGGGCGCGTGTGTGTGTGAGAGAGAGAGAGAGAATCATTACCTGATGCTAGGGGTACAAGAAATATATCCATGTTTGCTGATTAATTGACATTCAATTAATTAATAATTCAATTAATCATATTAATTTCAATTTGTTTGTTGATTGTTTGACATTAAAAGAAAGGGCTTCAGAATTATGAGTGTTGAAACAGAATATGATTTGGCTGAATCATCTCTTTCTTTGGGCAATTATATTCTGAAATGCAAACCATCTTATCATCAAAACCTGTAGATGCCCATTCTTTTCAAGTGCACCTGATGTTTTTTAAGAACTCACATATTCAAGGTTATATTCTTCCTACACATGTTCATGCAATTCAAGAGCAGTTGCCATATTGCAGACAGACACCAGCTAATCCTTCTATTTTCAGTAATTTTCAGTAGCCAATAGTGATAAATCATGTAAAATCTTTATTCAGTAACTGTGATAAAACAACACTTCTAAATGTCACGTCACATAAACATTTCCAAGAAGGGAAAGAAAAGAGAAATTTAATGTTGTATCTAATGTTTTGGCACATCAGTTTACATATAACAATATAATTATGTATATAATGACATAAATTAAGCTCTATGCACTTTGAAGACAAGCTTCAGTGCAAAATTAATATTATAAATAAATTTATTAAAGACACTAGAGCATTTATTGCATGTGAATGTAGTGTAAATTGACTGCTTGCTTGGTTAAGTACTTTTTTAATAATTAAAATAACTCTTCAAAAAATGAAGTCAAATTGTAAATAATTTTCATTAACATTTTAATTATCTTGCTTACATGCTTTCATAGAAGCATGAACATTTGAACCATCTGAATCTATCTACAACCATTATTATACATTCTAACTGAATATAGTACACATACAGATCAATTTGTAGAATTTCTTTACATAAATCAATATATTATTTAAAAGTTATATGAGTTGCTTACGTGTTTGTCATGTGGTTGTCTCCTCCTGTTTTTTTCAGGTAGAATTTCATCAATATTTTTTTTAATGAGACCTAATTCTTCAACTAATGCTTTGTCTACTGAACAACTTACAGGCATTAAATGTTCATCTAATTCACCTAATAAAACCAAAATAAAACATATAATATGAGATGTAAAAAATACCATTCCCTGTTATAAAATGATTAAAAAAACACTTATGTAATTTTAGTAAGAATAATAGGCCACAATATAATTTTAAAAAAATGATTAATAGGCCACAATATAATTTTTAAAAAAAATGATTAGAAAAACACTTATGTAATTTTAGTAAGAATAATAGGCCGCAATATAATTTCAAAAAAATCTATATATACCTAATAAATAATCTAATAAGAGAAATATAGTTTAAACTTTCAATTATTACTATGAGAAGCAATTTTTTCCAAAGCGTATTCAAAAGATTTTGCAACAATATCACAGTTTGTTACATATTTCATGCTTCTAGAATATAAGAAGATCCATAACTTATTTCAGACATACATAATCAAACCCATATCAACTTCATAGAAAAGCCTAACAGTTCATTTTCAGTTATAAATCCTGCCTTTCAAACTGCTGCAGTAATTTAACTATAATTCTCTCCTTTGCATAGGTATATAAATTTTTTGAAAGATGGTATCTTCAAATTGGTTGAAACTGAAATACAATTCAATGTTGATAATTTTTAAAGCCGTAAGAAAGTCCCAAGAACAAAAACTGCTAATTTTTATCCTATTTCATCTCTGTCTTACATATTATGAAAAATGTCCCATGTTAGTTAATAAGACAAGCATTGCAAAGCAATATTTTGTTTTGTTTTTCATATCATGGAATTATATTGTTAATTTATATACAGTCAAAAGTCATTAATCAGGACGCCCATAATCCGGAATGATCTCTAATCCGGACCTCAAAGCTACAAACTTTCTGCGCATGCGTCAACACCTAATGCATTCACGCATATGCATATGCGTTTAGGCATGCGCATAAACGTGCACGCATGTGCTTTTAATGTATAATGGATGGTATAAGCTAAGCTAAAATTATTTAATTATTTATTTCACTTAATGTTGCAGATTGCATTGTTCCTTAATCTTCGAATTGGATCCGGCTTATTATTTTTTGCAGACTGTTAGAGCAATTTTATAAAAGTAAGCTTGAACTTTCGATTATGTCAAATAGAATTTTCGATGCTGGAGCTACCAAAGGATCTACAAAGCGAAAGCATGTTTCGATGTCCATCAAACAAAAAGTGGAATTGCTGCAAAAAATGGATAAAGGCATATCCTTTGTTCCTCTAGCCATTTTGAAATCCGTTTATCAATTTCAAGCTGCTCTGCGGGGAAGGGGAACGTCGCGGCGCACCATGAACTGGAAATTGATCTGTCAGCACTATCCTTATCTTCAAAGCAGATGCTTTTATTTTATTCGGCTTATAATTCATTACTAAATGTAGTATTTCATCTCGATGTACCCTGTCTTTGATATCATTTAAATCAAATTCATTATAAATATCACGAATACATATCAAATAGTTTTCTGGTTGCAATTTTCTAATTTCGACTATGCGTAATGTATGCTTTACGCATGCACGCATTGAAAGAAATGTTTAATAAAGTAAACAAATAAATATTAAGCTTTTTTTTTTTTGTAAATTTTGATACCCTTTAGATCATAATTGTTCTTTATTTCATAAATTATGGTTTCATATTTTTAATTTTATAATTTCTGCATGCCATCTTACCAGATTTAAACTGATGATCTATAATCCGGAAAAATAGATAATCTGGAATCGCTGAAGTCCCGACGAGTCCGTATTAAAGACTTTTGACTGTATTGGTATTTCTAACATTAAAAAAAAAAAAAAAATTAAAAATTAAAAATAATCATGAGTTTGATTCTGCACATTTTTACTACTTACACAAAATTTCAGTTTAAGAAGTACAATCATTTTGAATTAAACAGTAATGTGTGAAAAAGATAAATAATCAAAATGCTAGGAAATGACACTTTTTATATACAATGCAATGTATCCATTAGCCAAATGACTACATCTGAGGAGCAGCCTTTAGTAAAAAGAATGTGCTCTTAGTGCTCTGGAAATTCTTAAATGGAATTTCCTATGGAAAGCTGAAATCTATAGGTATGATATATAAGTCTATGATTCTTGAAATGCTTATTTAAAAAAAAATTACAATTTGAAAACTACAAATCACAGTTTTTATAATTTAATCACAGTTTTTATATTAATACTTCAAAGAGTTTAAGATTACAATTTCAAAATACTGCTGAAGGGAAGGTAAAAAAATTTTAAATTATAAGATTAAAAAGAAACTAAAATCTGATTTTAGTGTGTAGATTGTGGATTAATACCCAAAATAAATTTTTAGCTAAGCAATTATGATACATGTATTGTTTAGGAATTAGTCTCCCAGAAATCAAAAATACAAAATATAAAATCTTATATTTAAACTGAGCTATTCAAAAAGGCAGAGCCAAACGAAGGGAAGTATTTTTGCTCTAATGTTATTTCACTGTTAATGCCATATACAGACTTGAGTACTTATTTAATACCCAGGAGATGTGACACTGAATTGCTAGTACATGAGAATTGCAACAAATGTAAGTAATAATACTTTTCATTTTGTTAGGATATTCTATCTACTTAATGGAAATAATGCACACCTCAATAATAATAATTTAATACCAATCTTTTGAAAATGTAATCCTTTTCAAAATTTTTACAGGATGCAAAATTCAAAATTTTTCAAGATGCAAAATCAATGAATTGAAAGCAATGTAAATCTTAGAGGTTTTCTTCAAGTTTTTTTTTTTTTTTTTTTTTTTTTTTTTAAGAAAGGAAGAAAAGGAAAACTAAAAAAAAAGATATGAACGCAAGATGATAAGCAAAACAAATGAACTAACATCATAGATTTAAAGCTCAATATTATATAATTTATGAATCTTAAAACCAAGATTTATAACTCTCTACATACACACTGTTAGTTGTAACAGCCAAAAATTTTCAGTAATGATAGGCAATGTTGGCAATAACATGCACATTCTTAATGAAATTTTTTTATATATATTACTAACTAAAGACATTTAAACAAATAAAGAAAGACCTTTTTATTTTCATTTGTTATTAATGAGGTACTGCTTTCATATGGAGTCCAATCAAATTTATAGCTTCTTGAAAATCTATGCAGCCAAATGAAACTTTCATTAAAAAAATTTGCTAACAGCATAGGAAAAAAATAGATGCATTCCAACATCTCTCATTCAATACATCATAACTTCATTTAAAGTACATATTGTAAAGTTAACCATACAGCATTTAAAATGTCTGCCAGTTTCAAATGCATAAAATCAATCTAAATTTATAACGAAAATAAATGCTATGTTTGGTTGTTTTAAAATTTCATAAATGTGACACACACAGCAAAATGGAAAATCATAGCTATTTATAAAGAGTGAATTAATAATTATAGAAATAACTTTTGGCACACAGTATTTGAATGATAAAATATACTCACCAATCTCATGCAACAACTTGCATGCTTTCAAAGCTGCAGACATCTTTGCTAACCTCTTTTGTTTCATATTTTCACCCTTAAGTTAAAAAGAAAACAAACATTTTAATTTAGAAGCTCTACAAAAATGATAAAATTTATAAATTATTAAATCATTCAATACAAATTAATCTGTTAGCAAATTTTTGTAATTACTTGTGGTACAAAAGACAAGATTCAACAATATAATGACCAGCCTTTTTTGATTTAATGATTTTTAGTAATATTTAATAAAAATTAAACTTTATTTGAAAGGAAGAAAAAGAAAGATGAAAGGAGGAAATACTTTTTTAATCTAAGTACAATTTTCCAATGAAAAATTTGACCAAAAAAGCCATTAGACAATGTATATTAGACCATGTATATTTTATTTCATAATTCTCATTAAACAAATACGATGAAATTGAAATAAAAAAGTACCTTTATTTTGTATCAAACATTATATGAATTTATTTTTAAGTTATATAATTATGGCGATAGCACTGCTACATATAAATAACAGTTACCACAGTTCTATAATCAGTGGGATGAGCTAAGAGAAGTTCAAAATGAAAATATTTTCTCTACTGCTTCTAATTTTCATTTTTATTCAATTATATATTTCTATTATTACATACGGAAGAAAAAACTAAATATTGCCTAATATTATAAATACAGTCTACCACAAAGCAATAAACTGTAAATGCTTATCAGAGATTATGTGAGAAACTAACCACTGCAATTTATAATAACAATGCCCTAACATTAAGGCAATTAAGACAACTGGTTTGATTTGGTCAACTGGCTTGATACTTAGCTGACACAGATGCAAACATTTAGCTGACAGGACACTTAGCCAACAAGGACATTTAGCCAAGACATTTAGCTGCCAGTACATTTAACAAACAACATATTTAGTAGATGGCCAAAATAAGGTTGCTTTTCTGTTTAGTTTTTATAGTCTGCTTTAACATTAAATAAAGTTAAAACTGTAGTACTTGTCCATTAACCTTCTCAATGTGTACTCTGAAAACAGTCTTTTGTCAGATAAATATGGACAAATTTACTGAAACGCTGTCACATGTTTTTTGTAAACATGCACATGCTGTCAGCTAAACATGGTGTTGGCTAAACACGCAATTAGTTAAACATGTTGTCAGATAAATGTCCTATTGATTAAATGTATTGTTGGCTAAATGTCCTGTCCATGCTGGTGTTACATTTAAAGTTTGTTAATATTATTTTATTTTAAAACTATCTGACTGACTCCTTAACTTGTCTTTCTGGTGCCAGACAAAAAAAAAAAAAAAAAAAAAAAAAAAAAGTAAAATAACCACTAAATTCTCATAAAAATATATGAACTCTTTAAGTGACTGGAATGTAAAACTAAGACTTTAAGTTAGACTAAATTACATAAATCATCAACAGAGTAAAATAAAGTTTATCATTTCAAATCTTATACTCTTTAAGTCAATACTGAAAAGATAATATCCTCCCTGGTGTTTTGGTAAATTCAAAAGATTATTTTTCAATGAATTACAAAAATGTGATTCACTTTCTAATTCTATAAATGCTATCTCATTCTAAAATAAAACTATATCAGCTCTCCTTCCTAAAAACACATTTCAGTATAACTCTAGAGACAGCCACAAACACTTTTCATTTAAATATAACCACAGGACACTTCAAAACACCAGGAAGAGATAAATCCCACAAGTAAAAAGTCAAGCACCAGTTCAGATAAAATTAAAACTTTAATTCATAAACTTGCATATTCATTACATATTTATTATTAAGATGCGCTGTAAAACATTTGAAGTAAATCAAATCATCTTAAATAATCATAAGACAAAATACACCTATACACAATATAACTTACAATAATGGTTTGTTTTAAAGATGAATTTATTTGCAGATGTAACATGCACACATATTGAATCTCATTAGAATCAGGATCCACAACTTTTATATCCCAATGTGGTTCTGACTTGGTAGCAATGTCTGATGGTAAATTTGCACAATATCTGCAAATATGTAAATACAAAATATAAAACAATGCAATACTTGTATGAAATAACATACTACAGCATTGACATGAAATAACACACAACTCATACTCTAAGTTATAAACGTTTCTTCTACAAAATAAAAAAATTAAAAGCATGCAAAGAAGCAACTTCAGTTGGGCATAGATTTTGAATAAAACTCGAATTAGTTTTGAGAGAGATCATGCACACGTCCTTCTTCTTCATGAGCAAAAACACTTTGCCTTCTTCAAAAGCAAAATAGTTTTTGTTCCAAATCAAGAGTTTTTATTCACAAATATATGCCAAACTAAAGCTGTTTTTTTTTTTTTTTTTTTTTTTTTGTCTACTTTTAAAGGTTATATCGGCCTGATTCTCTTCCAGTTTGAAAATAAAAGATATCCAATTTTGTAATTTATATATGCTATAATTATGATACATAAATAATATTATGATAAAATTAATATAATAATTATCATGCACAAGTCCATAACACATTGTTATTTGTATCAAAAGTACATTATTTTGATTTTTATTTTTCTGCAAAATAATTTGCTTTAATGAAATAAAATAAAAAATTACTTACTTTAATTAATCTATTAACTTCTACAATAAAACATCTTAGTCAAACGTATTTTTTATTAATAATAAATTCATACTCCTAAATTTAAAAAAATATAACTATCTTAATAAATTTTCTTTCTTCTCATAAAAAAATTAAGATTTTATTTTTTTTCTAAAATTTGTTTTAAATAAAATAAATTTAATGCAATGAAAAAAACTTTACCTTCAGAATTAAAAAGAAAGAAAACCAACACTAAAAAAAATTATTCTGCACAAAATTTTCTGTAACATTATAACTAAGAATTTAATGGTAGAGATATATGAAGTTTCGCATTAGCAACACTACCTCAGAAGATTTTAATGCCAAACCACAAAAATATAGCTAAACTGTGTCTGTTCATCAAAGGGAAAATTCACTAAATGAAATTTTGAAGATCTGCAATGTTAAAAAATTGTTAATATACACATATATAATAATATACAAATTATAGTAAAATATTTTGGCTTCTTTCTGAGATAGTATTGCTAATTCTAAAGTACTTTGTACTAGAAGTACGATATTTTTATCAAATACACAACAGTTTAATATTGAACAAGCTCAGCTCTAAATTGCATAAATTGCATTTTAAATGACAAAAATGTAGTACCTATTTATTAAAGATATGGAAGAAGACATTGTGACACGTGGACCTTGAGGACCATAAGGCATATAAGCAGAAATCAAACCATCAGCCATATGATCTGAAATTTCTTCTTCACTTGGCATTATACGATTGTGACATCTTTCTAGCAGCATCTTTATAAAGAAAAGCAAAAATTCTTTATATAATTTATAACTTAAAACATAACTTTCAGCTATAACTAAATGATAAATATGATTTACAAAATGGGAAAATATGAAATTTATAAAATACTAAACAATTATAAATACACACTATATTTAATCATCTTTATTTAATTCATTACATACATAGATTAAAGGAAATTGTGTTCTAAAATGCCAACAGAAATTATGCAGGTAGTCATTTTTCCTCTATATACAAACCTGAATGGCTTTTCACTCAGCATATGATGTATGACATACTTCCATTTCCTACCACAGGTCCACCATATCAAATGTGATACACAAGAGAAGAATAACTAATGTTCATTTTATATAAGTTGGGCCAAATAAGACCTACCAGTGTAAAACACAAATAACTTTTTTATTTTTCGATATAATTATATTTTTCTTTTTGTAAGTTATAATTGAATTCTTGGAAATTTATTATGGAACAATACAGTACAAAACAATGCATTACAATTATCTAGCTTTTCTATTTTTGTCAACAATCAATTGTTATGACACAGCATAAATATTGGCAATATTTTAATTCAAGTGTACTGCTTGGTGCACTGTTATGGCTAATAGAGTAATCGGCCCATTATTTCTTCGAGAATGAGGATAGAACGCTGGAAACGATTTCCAGAGCTTCTTACATAACAATGATTGAAAACTTTTTGTGGCCAATGGCGGAGCAGAATCCTTTTTTTTTATGGAGATATTTAAAAGACAAAGTGTATGTTAATAAACCAGAGATTATTAGACAGCTGAAGCAGAATATTCAAGATGAAATACTGAGCTTTCAAACAGAAACATTACATGGTGTAATGGAAAACGTGTTAAAAAGAGTGAATCTCTGTATTGAGAAAAATGGTGGACAATTGTCTGATATATTTCATACATAATTTCCATAAAATATATTTAATGTATAAAAAATTAATCAAAATAAATTATTAATACAAGAGTTATCCGTGTTTAACATTAGTAGGTCTTATTTGGCCCACCCTGTGTCTATTTAATATGATAAAATAGAACACTGTATTTTAAGTTTAAAAAATTAATAAAAGAGTTCTTCAGCACTCCTAGATTACGGGCCCATGGAAAGTTCACTCTCCTTGTGCTAGGAACAAAGTGGTTAAGAATCCTGCAACATCTATATTTGAAGCCACACATTTTAAAGATGCCCTGTTATGCTAAAATATTAGGAAAATGGGTGAATTTGCCATTGAAAAATTTAACTTTTTGCTTTAAATTGTTAAGATCTTTTTAACTTAGAAATTTTGCTCAATCATTAATCATTCATCAAAATATAATAAAACATCAAAACAGAATTTCATATGGCTATATTTCTGGTTTACATCTCTCTTTTGAGAAATGAAACGGTTCTCCCATTTTTTTACTTCAGATAGTAACAAAAGATAGTACAACTCTCTTTTAATGGGCAGAATGTCTAGTAAACATAATACAAGGTCAGAGAACAAAGACATTTCTAAGGTGTGATTGTGAACATTGAAAGAAAAAAATATTAGATGCAACCTCAACTTCTGTGGCATGCAATGAAAATAATAGTTCAGTTATTTTTCAACTCCAAGGAATAAATTAAGAAAAATAATTAAAACCAAAAAAATAAAACTTCTTTCAATACTTAATTTATTTGAGATCATATATACTAGAAAGATATTATAAGCAATAGTTTAGAATTCTAAAATATTGAAGGAAAGCCTAATGGATAGTTATGATGATGAGGCTGTCATTTCTTAAAGGAGGAAAAAAATAGAGATACTGTTTTTAGTACTTACCACTGCTTCAAAGAGATTTCAGATGGCGAAATGAAACTGTCTTTCAAGGCTAAAAATTCAGGATACTGCATATTGCTATTATTCGAAAACTATTCAATTATGACTGTTAAATTATAATTTGACTTCCCACAAGAAAATACAAAGGTTGGCATTTATTCTTAATGCTTCTTTCCTTCCTTTTAAGTATGAATAATCTCACAACCATATACATCGTATACGTAAATAAGAAAGAACTGTTTTAGGGGGTCTACATTTATAAATTAAGAGAATTCCTGTAGATTTTTAGACCTTTGTTAAGGCAGAAAGAAAATACCTTTTCTGTATGTCTTAAAGAAATGTTCCATGTACTTAAAGCATTTTGAATAATCAGTATCGGGTGCTAGAAAATTTCTATCACAGAGAGAAAAATTGGAGGAACAGTAAAATAAAAAATAACTTGATTTTATTGCAGTCAACTTTCTAGTATACTAACCTTTTTGAGATGGCACATCTAAAAATGAACAACCTTTCTGAGAACATAAATAAAATATTAGTGCTAAGCATAATTTTTTTTTAAACTAATCACCTCCAGAGAAGACCAGATCATTAGAAAACATCAATGATCATCTTAGAAAGGGTTTGCTCTATTTTGATACTTTTACAATTCAAATAATAAATCAGAGATTGAATAAAATAAAATGAAAAGTGTATACAAATATGTCTTATGTGACATAACAAGGATAAAATTTATATACAGTAAAAAGTGCTAATTATATTAATAAAAAATATGGAGTTAATGGAAGCAAATCACCTGAAAGAAGATAAATCTGGAAATTATATAACATGTAAACACAATAGTTTTTTATTATCACTTGGAAGTAGGTCTTTTTATTATTAATTTATTATTTTTTATTATTATTTATTAAAAAAAGAAATGCAATATTCACACCCTGTGCTGTCTTAATTAATTAAATGGTAATAAAAACTGCACAATCTTGCTCTTAGAGATATGCCAACTATAAAATAGTTCTACAAAATAATGATGAAAGGAATTCAGAAGAAAGCTATTTATGCATGCCAGTGCCTGCAATTTGTACAGAGGCAGCATTCCAAAACTAAAGCTCTCAATCTTCAGTGAGTGAAGGAAAATGTAGTCTTTCTTTATTAGCTTCAGAAAGATAAACTGTGCACAGAGAAATTAATTAATATGTCTGCTGTTTAAAAAAAAAAATTAAGAAGCCTTAAATGAGTTATTCAGAAAAAATTTACCAAAGAAGAAAAAGATCAGAAAAGGAAAGCAAAAATTATGCAATTGTATGTTAGTGTAGCACAACTGTGAAGCAAAAGGCAAATTTTATTGGTCAAAAGAATCTTACAAGAAATCAGATAACATATTTTAAAGCATAGACTTGCAGTATGATACATTTTAAAATCTAGAAAAGGCAAAAAAGTTATGCTGTACTGCAAAATATAGCATTTAGAGGTTATTGTTATTATGTGTTTTAAAATTCTGCAACCCAAACTTAATAAATATATAGTAATTTTGATTTTAGTAACAATATGCTAGGCATGATTTGTTCAATTGAAACTACAGTACAAAGTCTGTAATCCAGACATCCATTATCCAGAATGATCTATAATCCGGGCCTCAAAGACACAAACTTACGCATGCGTGTTTAATGCACGCATCCACTACGCATGCACATTTCTAATAGTGAAAAAAGTGACAGAGACAAAACGAAAACGAAAAAATTTCGATTCACAAGTTAGTCGCTATTCTCGACACAGCAATTACAGGACTTGAACAGTGGAACTTTGTAACTGAACAAGAAATTATGTCTGTTTATCGAATTAAAGAGAAAGTATTAGCACAAAAAATGAAGCAACTTAAACAACTTACATTGAAAGAAATGTTTAATAAAGTAAACAAATAAATATTAAGCTTTTTTTTTGTAAATTTTGATACCCTTTAGATCATAATTGCTCTTTATTTCATAAATTATGGTTTCATATTTTTAATTTTATAATTTCTGCATGCCATCTTACCAGATTTAAATTAATGATCTATAATCCAGAAAAAACCCTAATCCGGAATCGACAAAGTCCTGACGAGTCCAATAAAGTCTGCTTGTGATCTCCTCTCGCATAAACTATGCCACAAAAATCTAATTCTCTCAGTAATTATCTACATTAATTTCAAGTTAAATCTTAATTTGGAATACAAGTTTAAATGCAAGAATTATTTCAATTCGTACAAACAGCTTACTCAGAAATTATGTGAAACCGTAGTGCTCTACTTCGCTAATGCATTTTCATTAGAATTGATGAATTTAACCCTTGACTTTGCCTTTTCTATATTTTCGCCTTTGGGTGAGTGGTGTGAATGCATCCTAATTGACTTGGTTACCGAGAATGGCCTTAGGGCATAAAATTGAACTATCTGGTAAAACTTCTATGTAATTGTATGCCAGTATTGAAAGAAACAATCAATCTGACACGAAATAAAATGCGACTTTTTTTATAATGAGGCATTAAAAGATACCAGGAGGAAAAAGTGGCTTCAATTGCACCATTTTTTGGTGACTTTATCTCTTGCTCCAGCAAAATGGAAAAGTACCGAGTTAACATTTAGAACAAACAGATAGCAGAAAATAGAGTTTTCCAAGATATCTCATGAATAAGATTTTAAAGAAAACCAAGAATTGATTCATCAGTTTGAATGTAATGTTAGACTTAGAAGGTGAAAATGTATCTGCATATAAATTCAGATTTCAAAATTTAATACACTGCATTAAGTAATTAATGCACATTTTGAATATTATTAAATTCTGAATAATATACCTTTTACAAATTATATTTAGCTCTTTTTACTCAAGTTTCAAGTTTGCTTCGAAAAGTCATAAAATGGCGTTTCCAGAATCTTTCCTCAACTCTTTTTAATTATAGATATTATAAAACAAGCAACTCCATTAGTTGCTTCAGGCATACTGACACATTTTTTAAACACAGGAATTATGGCCAGAAAAAGTGGAACAAATGGAAGGAACTAATTTTTTTAACTTATTATTATATCTTGTGTTTTTAAGCCAGTTTAGCTCTAAAATTACTTCATGTTTTCTCTTTTTACAATATGTGTGCCACAACAAGGCAATATTGATAATCTACTGTGAGGCTATTTAAACTGTGGGTTATTTA